GAAGTGGAATATGTGGATCAAATAGTAGTTCTATTCTTAATTTTTTGAGGAATCTCCATACTCTTTTCCACAGTGGCTGCACCAGTTTACACTCACACAGCAGTGTATGATGGTTCCCATTTCTCCATATCCTCTCCAACATTTGTTATTTCTTGTCCTGTTCATTATAGCCATTCTGATGGGTGTGAGGTGATATCTCATTGTAGTTTTGATTTGGATTTCCTAAATAATTAGTGATGTTGAACATCTTTTCATGTGCCTGTTGGCCATCTGTATATCTTCTTTGGAAAAATGTCTGTTCAGATCTTTTGCCTGTTTTTCAGTTGGGTTATTTGTTTTTTTGTTGAGTTGCATAGGTTTTTTGTATATTTTGGATATTAACTCCTTATCAGATATATGATTTACAAATATCTTCTCCCAATTGTTACGTTGTCTTTTCATTTTGTTGATGGTTTCCTTTGCCGTGCAGATGGTTTTTAGTTTGATGTAGTCCCATTTGTTTATTTTTTCTTTTGTTTCCTGCCTGGTGAGACATGTTTTTCAAAAAGGCACTGCTAAGACTGATGTTGAAGAGCATACTGCTGATGCTTTCTTCTCCAAGTTTTATGGTTTCAGGGCTTACTTTCAAGTCTTTAACCCATTTTGAGTTAACTTTTGGGTATGGTGTGAGATAATGGTCTATTTTCACTCTTTTACATATTTCTGTCTAGTTTTTCAAACACCATTTATTGAATGAAGAGACTTTGCTTTCTCCATTATATGTTCTTGCCTCCATTATTGAAAATTAGCTGCCAATAGATGTGTGGTTGTATTTCTGGGCTCTTGATTCTGTTCCATTGATCTGCGTGTCTGCTTTTCTTCCAGTACCATGCTGTTTTGATTACTATAGCTTTGTAGTATATTTTGAAATCAGGTAGTGTGATACCTCCAGCTTTGTTCTTTTTTCTCAGGGTTCCTTCTACAAGTTGCGGTCTTTTGTCGTTCCATATACATTTTAAGGTTCTGTATTTACGTGAAAAATGTCACTGGTACTTTTACAGGGATTTCATTGAATCTGTAGCTTGCTTTAGGAATAATGGACATTTTAACTATGTTAATTCTTCTAATACATGAGCATGGAATATCTTACCATTTCTTTGTGTCTTGTTTGATTTCTTTCAACAATGTTTTATAGTTTTCAATGTTCAGGTCTTTCACCTCTTTGCTTAAATTTATCCCTAGGTATTTTATTATTTTTGTTGCAATTGTAAATGGGATTCTATTATAAATTTCTCTTTCTGCTATTTCATTGTTAATGTATAGAAATGAATCTGATTTTTGTATGTTGATTTTGTATGCAGCAACTTTACTGTATTCATTTATTATTTCTAATAGTTTTTTGGTGGTTTCTTTAGGGTTTTCTATATATAAAATACAGTCATTTGTGAATAGTGACAGTTTTACTTCTTCCTTTCCAATTTGGATCCCATTTATTTCTTTTTCTTGCCTGATTGCTCTGGCTAGTACTTCTAATACTATGTTAAATAAGAGTGGCAAAAGTAGGCATCCTTGTCTTGTCCTGTTCTTAAAGGTATAAATTTTGGTGTTTCACCATTGAGTATGATGTTAGTTATGGGTTTGTCATATATGGCCTTTACCATGTTGTGGTACTTTCCTTCTATACCCATTTTATTGAGAGTTTTTTTATCATAAATGGATATTGGATCTTGTCAGATGCTTTCTCTGTGTCTATTGAGGTGATCATATGATTTTTATTCTTCGTTTTGTTAATGTGGTGTATCATGTTGATTGATTTGCAGATGTTGAACCATCCGTGCAATCCTCGAATAAATCCCAGTTGATCATGGCATATGATCTCTTTAATGTATTGTTGTATTTGATTTGATGGTATTTTTTGAGGATTTCTGCATTGATGTTCATCAGTGATATTAGCCTGTAATTTTCTTTTTTTGTGTTGTCTTTATCTGGTTCCGGTATCAGGATAATGTTGGTCTTATAGAATGTGTTAGGAAGCTTCCCCTCCTCTTCCATTTTTTGGGAGAGTTTGAGAAAGAAAGGTAGTATGTCTTCTTTGAATGTTTTGTACAATTCACCAGGGAAGCCATCTGGTCCTGGACTTGTGTTTTTTGGGAGGCTTTTGACTACTGTTTTGATCTCCTCACTGGTAACCAGTCTATTCAGATTCTCAATTTCTTCTTGATTCAGTTTTGGAAGGCTGTATGATTCTAAGAATTTATCCATTTCTTCTGAGTTACTCAATTCATTGGTCTACAGCTTTTCATAGTATTCTCTTATAATCCTTTCTATTTCTGTGATGTCTTTTGCAATTTCTCCTCTTTCATTTCTCATTTTATTTATTTGAGCCTTCTCTTTTTTTTCTTGGTGAGTCTGGCTAAAGGTTTGTCAATTTGCTTTATCTTTTCAAATAATCAGCTTTTAGTTTATTAGTTTTTTTCTATTGTTTTTAAAGTCTCTCTTTCATTTATTTCTGCTCTAATTTTTATCATTTCTTTCCTTCTACCAATTTTGGATTTGCTTGTTCTTCTTTTTCTAATTCCTTTTGGTGTACGGTCAGATTGTTTGTTAGAAACTTTTCTTATTTATTGGTGTTGGCCTTTATTGCTGTAAACTTCCTTCTTAGTACCACTTCTGATTTATCCCATAAATTATGGCATGTTTTATTTTCATCCTCATGTGTCTTCAGGTATTTTTTAATTTTTCCTTTGATTTCTTCATTGACCCAGTAGTTGTTCAGTAGCATTTTGTTTAATTTCCAGATGTTTGTGGCTTTTCCAGTTTTCTTCTTGGAATTGATTTCTAGTTTCATACTGTTGTGGTCTGAAAAGATACTTGGTACAATTTCAATCTTGTTAAATTTATTGAGACTTGTTTTGTGGCCTAATATGTGATCTATCCTGGAGAATGTTCCATGTGCATTCAAAAAGATAGGGTATTCTGCAAGTTTTAGATAGAATGTTCTGTATACATTTACTAAGTCCATCTGGTCTTATGTGTCATTTTAGGCCAATGTTTCCTTATTGATTTTCTATTTGGATGATCTATCCATTGATGTAAGTGGACTGTTAAAATCCCCTACTATTATTTCGTTACTGTCAATTTCTCCTTTTATATCTGTTAATGATTGCTTTCTATATTTACGTGATCCTGTGTTGGGCAATTAATATTTGCAAGTGCTATCTCCTCTTGTTGGATTGATACCTTCATCATTATGTAGTGCCCTTCTTTGTCTCTTGTTACAGTTTTTGTTAAAGCCCATTTTTTCTGATATAAGTATTGCTACCCCAGCTTTCTTTTCCTTTCCATTTGAATTGAGTATCTTTTTCCTTCCCTTCACTTTCAGTTTGTGAGTGTCTTGTATGTAGCATATATATGGGTCATTTTTTTTTAAATCCATTTAGCCACCCTATGTCTTTTGATGGGAGCATTTAGTCCATTGACATTTAAAGTAGCTATTGATAAGTATGTATTTATTGCCATTTTGTTACTTTTTTATGGGTGTTTTAGTATTTCTTCTCTGTTCCTTTCTTTCTCTCTTGCTGTCTTCCCCTGTGATTTGATGGCTTTCTTTATTAAGTTGATGGTCTCTTAAACTTGACATCTTACTAGAAGCCCTACATTTTTACTCTCCTCCCTGACATTTTATGTTTTTGATATCATATTTAACCTGTTTTTATGAGTGAATGTATCCCCCTTAACCTCTTATCATGTAGATAGATGTTTTTAGTACTTTTGTCTTCTGATCTTCATACTAGCTTTATAGGTGGTTGATATGCTACCTTTACTTTATATTTGCCTTTACCAGTGATCTTTTTCTTTGATAATTTTCTTATTACTATTTGTGATCTTTTCTTTTGCACTTAAATAAGTCCCTTTAACATTCCTTGTAAGGCCCATTTAGTGATGATAAACTCCTGCAGTTTTTGCTGATCTAGAAATCTCTCTTCTCTCCTTCCATTCTGAATGATAAACTTGCTGAGTAGTGTATTCTTGGATGTAGGTTTTTTCCTTTGAGCACTTTAAATATATCATGCCACCCCCTTCTAGTTTGTAAAATTTCTTCTGAGAAGTCAGCTGATAGTCCTATGAGGTTTCCTTTGTACATAACGTGTTGCCTTTCTCTTGCAACTTTTAGGAGTCTCTCTTTAATTGTTAACATTTTCATCATAATGTGTCTTGGTGTGGGTCTCTTTGGATTCATCTTGTTTGGTGCCCTCTGTACTTCCTGTATCTGGATGTCTGTTTCCTTCCTTAGGTTTGGAAATTTTTCAGCTACTATTTCTTCAAATAGGTTCTCAGCCCCTTTGTCTCTCTGTTCTCCTTCTGGGACACCTATGATACAAATGTTGGTATGCTTGATGTTGTCCCAGAAGTCCCTTAGATTGTCCTTGCTCTTTTTAATTCCTTTTTCTTTTTTCTATTCAGCTTGGGTGATTTCTTTTACTCTTTCATCTGGATAAATGATACATTCTTCTGTGTCATCTAATCTGCTGTTGATTCCTTCCAGTGAATTTTTCATTGGATTCTCCAATATGATTGGTTCTTTTTTATATTTTCCAGTTCTTTGTTGAAGTTCTCACTGTGTTCATCTATTCTTCTCCCAAGATTAGTGAGCATCCTTATGGCTATTAGTTTGTACTCTATCAGGTAGATTGTTTATCTCTGTTTCATGTACTTCTTTTTCTGAGAACATATTCCTTTGTTTCCTCATTTTGCCTACTTCTCTTTGTTTATTTCTACATATCAGATACATCAGCTAGGTCTCACAATCTTGGAAATATGGTCTTATGTAAGAGATGCCTTATGGGGCCCAGCAATGTGCTTCCCTCTCATCGCCAGTTCCACATGTTCCAGGAGTGTCCTATGTGTGGGCATGTGTGCCCTTCTATTGTGTTGGGGTTGCTCTTTCTGTGGGCACAAGGGTAGGCTAAACTGGCCCCCTGGCCAGCTGGTTGTAAGGCTCAGCCATATGTGGCTATGACAGTCACTTTAGTCACTTTATTCTGCAAGGCAAGCCCCTACATGGCTGGCTGCAAGGTCTAACAGCACACAACTACTGCTGTTTTGCTGTTAAGTGAGTCAGACCCCTGGCATGGCTGGTTACTAAGCTCAGGGGCTCACAATTGCTTCAGGCCTCTGGTGAGGCTCCCTGGGGCACAAGGCTGTTGTTGGCCCTCTCAGGAGTGCAGATGGGTGGGGCTGGCCCAGACGTGGCAATGCACAATTGTTTCAGGCATTAGAAGGTGGGATGGATCTCCTGTGTGGCTGTTTGAGATGGCCAGCAATACAAATCTGCTGCAGCCCACATGCCGCACTGGCCATGGGCCCACACACCTCACCAATGCAGGCCTGCCCCACTGCACACACCCTGCTGAGATAGACCCACTGGCCCCAATGCAAAGGCCCCACACACCCCTTATATGTGAGCCCACAAGTTCCCTGCGAGCTTGCTGATTGGCAGGCCCAGTCCTGAGGATGGGCTGCCTGCCCTGGCTGCCCTGGATTAAATTAGTGTTGTGGTGAGTGGGGCAAACCCTTGTGCAAACAGCCAGAAGAAGAAATCCAATGGTGTCTGTCAGCATCTGGGTCAGCAGGACAGAACTAGGTCACAGTAATGGCTGCTGCCAGTATCTCAGTCCCTGGGGAGGTGGGCCCAGTCACTTCTTGTCCCTCTGAGATGTACTCAGAGCTTATCAAGTGAGTCTTTTTACCAAAGGACTATGTACATTTCTTGCTTGTGTTTTTGTGTTGGTTTCTGGAATGGGTAAATGTGTGTGTGAGCTCTTTAAGAGTAGGCTGTTCTTTCTGTGAAGTTCTATAGTGTTTCTGGGGGTATTCTTGATTGGTTTTAAAAACCAGCAAAGCCAGGTATTATGGGAACTCATCTTGGTTGTACTGAATTCAAAGGCTGGGATGTCTATTGAGGCATAGAACCCCTGCTCAGATCCCCCCACTCCTCCAAGAAAAGTTTTGTACCTTTAAGGTTGCTCCCAGCCATGAAGCACCACAGCTAGGATGTTGTTTTTTTCCTCAGCAGTGGTGCATTTCTGCCTTTCCCACCGCTGTCAGTATTGTCCCTTCTTGTGGGAGTTCTTTTTATCCAGTTTCCAGATCTCTCTCACAGAAAACTGTTCCATGGGTAGCTATAGATTTGTTGTGTCTATGGGAGAAGGTGAATTCAGAATCCTTGTATGCTGCTATCTTCTCAGAATCTCCAAGCTTCAATCCTTAAAGATCAAGTATTCTCTCTTTAAACACATTTTTTTTTGAGCAATTCATCATTTCTCTACTCTTTGTGATCAACTCTGTTCCTGTACTGCCCAACTTGCATCTCTCTCTTCTCTCCCAAGCTCTGATCTTCCGTTTCCAACTTTTTTTTCCATCTCTACCTTTTGAAGGTTCTGCCAACACTTTATAGTCTTGTCTAAAATTCAGCTAGTTATCCTCTTCATTTTTAAATTCTTCATTTATGTCATCCTACCCCTGACTCCCTGGGCTTGAAATCTTAGTCTATTTTGACTTGTGCCTCATTCCATCATTCTCTCCTGTACCACAGAGAGACTAAATCGTGTTAATTATTCCATCACCACATCTCCCACACTGTTTGTGTCTTTCTGCATTTACTACTATGGAAAGTCTTCTAACCTATCTCTCTGCTTGCTGTTCTCTCAGTTTCAGCCTATTCTGACACCACTGGCTATATAAAATACCATTGTTATTAAGAGAGATAATTTTGAATACTAAAAGTATTAGTATTTATTACTTTATTAATTTTATGTATTTAAAATGAAATACTTTAAAAACTTAAATTTATTATATTATTTAAATTATTTCGTTTTATGCATTCTAAGGGCTGTAATCAGCACCAGTTATTCATCACAATAATTCTTTGAGGTGTGGTTATCATCTTCATACAAGCTAAAGGACTTGAAGCTCAGAGAGAGGTAAATATGTCCCAAGGTCACACATCTAGTTAGAGGCAGAGCCAGGATTTGTACTGAAATTAGTCTGATTCCAAAGTTCATGCTCTGAGACTTAGGGAATCCATAGCTTATCATTCAGCAGTATATATCTGAGACAGAAAGCTGGTGCTACTAATAGTTACACTGGGACAACAGACATAAACTAGGACTGTTTTAGGTAAATTGACAGGCAGTCACCTTGTTGATACTCCACAGTTGCTCCTTTCCATCGTTATATCCACTTGAGGGGGAAAGATGAGGAGGTACCTGCTTTTGCAGAAGAGAAGACAAGCTCAGCTTTGAAGTTGGTACTTGAATTGATCACAGGACAACCTATTGGAAATATCCAGTAAAGTGACTGCATACCAGTTTACGGGCATAGTAGAAAGATGAAGACTGAAGTTTCTAGTTTAGAAGCCACCTTTATAGAGGAAGTTGTTGAACAGAAGAACTCACCAAGCACTTAAAGAAGAAAAAGAAGTGCATAGGATGCTGGGGAGGTGAAATATGAGAGGAAAGGAAAAGGTACAAGAGACAATATGAAAGTTGCCTCTTTCAGACTGTAAGCTCCTCCAATGTAGGAACAATGTCTTTTTGTCACTAGATCTAGAATTTTAAAATGTTAAATGATGTACAAATTATAGATAAATTGAACATTAAAAAGAGTGGTGTACCAGGCCAGCCTCTGTGGCCTAGTGGTTAAGTTCACCACACTCTGCTTCAGTGCCCTGGGTTTGGTTCCTGGGTGCAGCCCTCACTGCTGGTTGGTGGCCATGCTGTGGTGGCAGCCCACATATAAAATAGAGGAAGATTTGCCACAGATGTTAGTTCAGGGTGAATCTTTGTCAAGCAAAAAGAGGAGGATTGGTGATAGATATTAGCTCAGGGCACATCTTCCTCAGCAAAAAAAAAAAAAAAAAAAAAAAAAAAGAGTGCTGTCCCATCTGACTCCTTTAATGAACTTAATTTTATTCACTTCCTTAGAAGTTGAGGCCATTTCACATGAAGACCTATCTGCTACCATCTTTTCTCTCCAGCCAGGCTGCATGTCTCTTTTTGTGGAATTAATGCATGTTCTTGTGTTTCTCTGGTGTATGGTGATGAAGAACTCACTCAGTGCCTTACTAGTGCTATTTGATGGTCTACCAAGATTCAGAGACATATATGTAAAGACACTATATACATGTTTACATATCCAACATACATTTACATTACTTATAATAATATGTATAGTATATAAATATACATATGTTAGACATGTGTTAGAAGTAACTAAAGCAAAGAAATGATCCAGCAGAGATTCAGGTTCTGGAAAGGGAAGGTTCTGTACCAATGAACATGGTCAAAAATATTTCTCTCTGTACTCCTTTCTACTTATGCTCAAGCAAGTCATCAGTGAACTTGACTTTGGAGTAGCCATGGGTGAAATGCATTTGAAATAAAGTTTTCATGGCAATAGTTTCTGAAGTGACATCAACTCAGAGGGAGTTTTCATGATATCCCACAATACGGACAAGAAACCTCGAGGATCCTGGAAAAAATCAACTTTTCATGAACCCTTGAGGTCTTCTTTACCTGTAGGTCCTTATGAGAGTTTATGATGGTCAGCTATTTTTCTCCATTTGTAATTTATGTGTAGTGGGGTTTAGATCAGACTTCGGATTCATTAGAATCACTATGGGACAAAGCAAAATTCTAAGTGTAAACCTACAAATTAAGCACCGTTATTTTGGAGAATTGATTGAAAATGTCTCACAGAGGTGGATAAGCAAGCAGACATTGATATGTGCCCACATAAACATGGTGACTGGTGCAGAGATTGTAGTTGGACTGGACAAGAAACTGGGTTTCAGCCTTTGTGGTATGATTTCATAAACTTCTTAGGAGAAGAGAAGCCCTGATCAAAAACATAGCTTATCCACTTCTTCACTGAGGCTTGAGTTTCTCTGAATACAGATTTTTTTCCCTTTGACTAAAAATATAAAAAATCCCCTGTGAAAGTTTTTGGAGTATATGTGGCCATATACTGGCTCAATTAGTAACTGTACAAAGGGGTTTACCAGATCCCTTCCTGAGAGCTGACTTGAAAATTGAGGGAATTCAAAGTAGCTGGTGTTGGCTATTAAAAGACCAGAAATGTGTGTGGGCAGTGACCTTCATTGTGTGACTCGTGATTTTATAAAAAGCTCAGAAAAGTCTTTGGCTCTCTCTAACTTGTTACTAAGTACAAAATTCCCTCCATGAGAGCCAGTGCTTATAGTGAAGCTATTGTCTGAAGCACAGGACTACAATGCATTCTCTGGGAGGAGTGATACATTAAGAACATTCACCCATTGGTCCATTAGATAATGTAGCTGATATTAACAGCACAACTCTGACCACAGTCTTTCAAGTCTTTGCTCAAATGTAATCTTCACAAAAAGACCTAATCTACCATCCTATTTAAACACATATCCCACACCCCTTTGTTTCTTTTTTATAATTGTCTGTTTAAATCTTTGTCCCCGTAATATATATTTTTTAGTTTTTTATTAATTTCTAGGATTTCCTTATATAATGTAGATATGAGTCCTCTGACAGATACATGTGTTGTGAATATTTTCTTTCTGTTTTTGGTTTTCCTTTATATCATCCTAATGATGTATTTCAAAGAGCAGAAGTTTTTAATATTGATAAAATTGAATTTATGGTATTTTCCTTTTATGGTTAGTACTTTTTATGTTTAAGAAATTCTTCTTACTTTAAGGTCTTGAAGATAGTCTCTATTTTCTTCTCTAGGCTTAACTTTTACATTTAAGTCTCTGATCCATCATGACTTAATTTTGTATGGTGTGAAATAGGGGTTGAGGATCATTTTTGTTTATATATAGACATCTAGGTGTTTGAGAATCATTGATTGAAAATAGCTTTCTTTTCCCAGTAACTTACTCTAGCACCTTAAAAAAAATCAATTGATCCCATACATATGGGTCAATTGGACATATTTCTGGACACTCTACTCTGCTCCATTAATCTATTTACATGTCCTTACTTCACTAATACACTGTTTTAATTTCTGTAACTATATGTAATTCTTGGAGTCAGGTATGCAAGTCCTCCAACTTTCTTCTTTTTCAAAAT